ATATAATGACTATCTTTTAAGTCTCTATACTGGTCACTGAAAATGGGTTTTCAATATAAATATATATCGGAATTAGTAAGTACGGTTTTATAATAATCTCAACACCAGGAAAGGTGGAAAACCAGTGATAATTAGCAAACCAGAGATGAGAAAAGTCCAATATATGTTATGGTAACTATAGTTTGTTCGAAGCGACTCATTATCTTTCTTGGATAGATTTCTAAAATAACGTGATTTGTGTAACCACGTGCTTAGACTTTGTGTATCGACCCGAGATATTCTTAATAAAAATAGCGAGAGTTGTATGTGCTATTGAGAACAACGTTGATCGTAAATTTTAATAAACGTCTTCGCTCTCGTTTGTTTACTTCCCTCAGTTTGTTCATGAAGAGTATTACACATGAACCCGGCACGATACGTCTATATCTATATGAATGCTCTAGTCTACCAGAGTTTATACACTAGCTTACGGGTTTTTTCTTCCTCACTCATTATGTCTTGTTGGTGAACGTGCATACTATGTTTTTGTTCCTGATAATCACCGTGTTTCATGTTTCCTCTTTATTTTTCACAAACAAATATTGTTTATTAAGGAGCACATGAAGATAGTATTTGTTGCGTCTCTCCCTGAACATTATATTGTAGAAACAGTGTGTACATTTAACGGCTCATAATCACCCTATTACATTTGTTTCATAAAAGGTTTTATACTTTGTGCTTTAAAAAATACTTATTGTTATTCCTAAACCTAAACTCTTTATATGTTGTACACGTGTGTGTGTGTGTGTGTTTCCTAGTTACGTGAAACCACAGTTACACAAGAAAACGTAAAAATAGTGTTGCAACAATTAAACGAAAATTACTCTTACAACAAGGAATTTTAAAATCAATATTAGAACAGAACAAAAAGTTTTAAATTTTCAATAAATATTGTGCCATACGTTACTAAATAACGTATGTCACGCTCTTGACACATAATAAACAGGAAAATGAGTTGAAAACTCATTTGTACTTAAATACACACACACACACATCGATTATCAATAATCACGTATAAACAAATTTAAAATTCCATCTAAACTTAAGATCAGCTTTTTAAAGGTTATGAGCAATTCAAAAGGTCGAGACGTGGTTGTAAAATTGAAATACTATAGGCCACGTTACGTTACCGCGTTATAAGAGTGACAGTCAACCTTCTACTATTTGATTAGAGGTGGTCATGAGTGCTCTTGAGTGGCTTCCTTTATTTTAGGCCATCATTTCAAAATTAGGAACGCTTGTGTATCTTTATATGTATATCTTTTGTGTATCTTCACAAATATTTTATATGTTGAGAGAAATGCCATTATTATTTTTTAAATAAGATTTGGTTTCGTCTATATCAAGTTGCGCTATGTCATTTCTTTTTGTCATTCTTACTGAAAGTGAAGAAAGTATTATTTAAAAACTGATGGGTCAATAAACAAATTGGTGAAATGAGCACGCACAGATTCTCAACTTTTCGATTAAGTCACGAATTTTACGTTTAATCTCTGTTGTATACAGTGACATGTAAATATTCTAACACGGCCGTATGTACAGTGAAGTCGATCAGTTACTGAGCAGAACGGAGCTTAGAATGTTTTCTTAGTGGGCTCTGACTTTATTTAAACCAATCTTTATACAACGCTATACGTATGGCGTGCCTTCTTCCATTATAAATAACTCGCATCTGTGTGTGTGTGCCATAGATTATTTAGTTGCGGCTGATAAAAATGTGTGTTTGATTATGTGAAGTGAGTTTGCTGTTGTTTCTTCTCAACTATTGTGTGCTTAATTTAACTTGCTCGGTACTTTTTGATTGAGAAAACTACTAACGTATGAGGATTGTCTCTGGCGTATTATATAACAGAGACTTTATATATAATGTTGCATATCATCCATCCTCCATAGTCTATCTTTGTCAGTCTGACGTAGCCGTTATGGCTTATTGTAAAGGTACTAGAATATCAAATCTGATAAGTTGCTACGGTGAAGTTAGTATTATTTCATTTTATTATACAATTTTATACTTTAATTCATAAAGAATGATTTACATTGTTAGCTTAGATTTTGATTTAGGACTAATCTAAGTTTCCTAAGATTATCGATATTATTGGGTTTACGGCCGAAAATATGATTATTCGTTAGCAGCGAGAGTACCCAACTGATGAAGCAATGTCTTCTAATATTTAAAAGTAGATATGTAAGAATAGTATAGTTGATATTGATGGTCTGGCTGAAGTTTTAGTAATAGTTTGATCAGAAGTTATTATTATTAGATCACACTGTTTAACAAACTACCCAGATACTTTCCATTGAACGTGGATGTCTGCTTCCAAGACCACATTTAAGTTGATGAAAGATATAAAAGCTTGTTGGACAAATATCGCGAGACTTGACTGTTATGTGGTCGAATGGAATTGCTTTGATTTCTATTGCTTTCGAAGTGGGGCTGGTTTGCTAGCTTTCGTGAATTTCAAGCTCTAGTAACAGGAGATATACCTAGTTTCATAGCATTTGCTTTTTTTTAGCGTCGGGTGGTTCTCTATTCAAATCATCGTCTTGCTTTGAATTGGATCCGGGTGCTACATAAGAACTGGTGAATGCCCAAAACACTCTGCTGTATGCGTTTTCCGTTTTCATGGAGGACACTGAAGACACCTTTGAAAAGTTTTATGCTTTTATTCTACGAAATGTCTTTTCTCGGATAGAGAGCTGTGACGTATATTAATCCAGATTCAACTCTTCCTTACTCTCTTTAAAGGTTGATAATTCGCTGTGAATCAGATGTAAAGCTCTGTCGATATGCTGTTACATTGTATATAACCTGAAGTTAAGTTTCTGTATGTATTCCACCTCACTGAAGTTCATCCAGAATAAATAAATTATGAATCAAAAAGTTAGTATTCGTCTAATCCTCGGAGGACTCCCCCAAAAAAAGAAACAACAGATAGCGCTGTTTAAAGCTTTCAATGTATTTAAAATGTGCTCTTTTTATACTATATATTTGTATTATGAACTTACAATCGAACCATTTTATGTAAGGAGGCTTGACTTAAGCACAGCTATTTTTAAAGTATTTTCTTTACATTTATGTTATTTAAACATGAGTTATAACTAAAATTGTTGAAAATTTTATTTTTTCAAATTAAAGATATACATTAACTTCAATGACTAAAACTTCAGTGGATAGGGTGCCATACTGTGAATCCGAGATTCCGTGGTTCCTGTCTCGTTGCTATAAGATTGCACTCCGTGAGGTCATTATAATAGTAACGGCCAAATCTCACTATTCGATTAGAGTAGTTCAATGGCTGGCGGTGGGTGTTGTTGACTAGCTGCCTTCTCTGTAGTCTATCATTTCAAAATTAGGGACGATTAGCGCAGATAACCCTTGTGTAACTTTGCGAGAATATCAGAAACAAACAAATCACTATTTCCTCAGTAAATGTTTCGTTTTGATTGAATTTGCTTTCAAAAGATTAGAGGGCAGCGCGGTCTTCTTAGTGAACTCCTGCTGTACTATTATGTGGACTTGTGTAGGGACTCATTTCAATGTAACAGTACATTAGTTATAGTGGTGGTTCTAGTATTATAATTATTTCAAGCACATTTTCTCTGTTGAGGTTGAGTTATATGTATTCTGTGTTCTTTGAATTTCCTTGGACTAAATTCAGAAGAAATGTAAGTAGTGTTGTGTTCTGCTCTGCACCCCATGGTTACTGCACGTTTGTCTGTGAATTGATTTTCCTATAGAGGTGGCTTACTTGGTTGTGCATGTGGTATCCACGAGTATAGTAGTACACACGTTTTTATATCTATAGTCATTTGTTTGTTTGAGAGTAAGCCGAGGGAGCTTTACTTCTCAACAAGTTACTTAAAATGCACTCAAGTTTGTTAACTTGTATCCGTATGTAAGTTTAGTTAGAGATCTTTTGAAAACATGTGAATATTTTGTGAACAAACACACAGCCTTTGAACACTTATTAGTTTCCTTATAAATGAATTTCACAGTTTCTGAAAGTAAAGCTTTGTAAGCTGATATTCTAATCTCTTGTAATCCCTTCAGCTTATTGAATTTAACTTAGATTACCCAGCATTCAGTCTGTTAAAATTTGTTTATAAGATTCCACGCTAAGATAGTCCAAAGTCGAACGCAACGAAACCATAATTGATTGTTTGTAATTATGCACAAAGCTACACAATGGGCTGTGCTCTGCCCACCACGGGTATCGAAACCCGGTTTCCTACGTGGTAAATCCGCAGACATACCGCTGTGCCACTAGGGGGCACCATAATTGAAGATGGAAATGTCGTACTTTGGAATACGGCGCCTTTTTGACTTGCACCTTAATTTAAATTCGTAGATTACAAAACTAAATTGAAGAAGGAAATTTGTCTTAATTAAATGCCGTAAACTACAAAACTAAAACTGAAAATGGAAATCTTTCTTAACTGAATATCATAGACTACAAACTAAACTGAAGATGAAAATATTGTGCCTTATGTTTAGTGTCTTTTCGGTAATTGATTGTTTTGTTTGTTTGGAATTAAGCACAAAGCTACACGATGGGCTATCTGTGTTCTGCCCACCACGGGTATCGAAACCCGGTTTCTATCGTTGTAAGTCCACAGACATACCGCTGTGCCACTGGGGGGGGGGGCTCGGTAATTGAATATCGAACAATATAAAACTACAACTAGATATGGAATTGCTGAACATGACGTAAATAAAACACAAAACTGAAACCGAAGATCGATTTTCTTTTGTATCTTATATTAAGTTGTGTATTAGGGCTAACATAATATCAAACATTTATGAGAAAAGATGGAAGTGTCGAACCTTACATTTTGACGGGAGGTAACTACCTGTTATGGCCATCAATTATTTATATGCGTTGTTTTGGTGTATGGATCTAGTAGAGTGAAAATAGAAAAATGAAGCCAGTGTGAAAAATCTAAGATTAAGATACACATACCAGTTTTGAAGATATCACTTGTGTTTTCTCAGATTAAACGGTGTGGAATTGGAACATTCGAAAGGATGTATCGGAACGAGGGGGGAAGCTCCTCTTCTCTAGCTATGTCTTCTCTGTCACTGAAGGAACTCAGTTGAAGAATCTTTTACTAATCCGTGGGAGCCGCCCACTTCTCTACCCAGCATTCTCAATGACGTACGGAGGTGATACGCTTGCGTGATTCTCTTAAACGAGGAAGGTAACGGAGAAACTAAATCGAACACCAAATTACATGATCAGATAAAACATTTCAGTAGAGCTGATCTAAGTTTCTGACCTTTCTTTCATTCCAATAACATGCTAAGCTAAGGTTTTGTTTCGACAAAACCCGCGATAATACGTTAAACGTTCCATTGTTGTTCTCATTATCTTAACATTAATATCATGCTAAACTTGTTGTTGGCATTTTTTTTTTCACATCTGTTTTGTTGAACAGCGTCTAGTTTTGTTGTTCTAAGAAGAAATATCCAAATAACTGTAAAGTTGTTAAAGAAGACATTAAATATATAACTGTCTAAAATTATTTATTGCCCATTCTTCAGGCCTTCCGATATTTCTATACAATATTTATATTTTGTAATATCTTTGTTGTTGTTGTTATCTCTGTGTTAACATTCGATTGTTGTTGTTGTTGCTATCTCTTTAGTTTCGGATGTTGTTATCCATGTAGTAACGTTAGAATGTTGTTGTTCTCTGACCGCGATAACGTGTGGATGTTCTTATATATATCTGTAGTAACGTTTGGATGTTGCTATCTCTCTTGGGTCACGTTTGGATATCGTTTTTATCTTTCTGTGTTAACGTTTGGATATTTTTATCTCTGTGTGGAAATTTCCAGAATGTTCGAATTTTGTTGTTGTTATTATCTCTGTTGCAACATTCGGTTTTTGTGGTTGTTATATTTCTGTAGTTACGTTTTGATGTCTTTGTTTTATATCCCTGGGGTAACATTCAGATGGTGTTGTTGTCGTTATTATTATTATTATCTCTGTTGTAACGTTCGGATGTTTATATTGTTATTTTACCGCGATATTGGTAATATTCTTTTGTTCTTTCTTTGCGATAACGTCAGAGTTTTGTTGTTGCAGTTATCTTTCTGTAATAACGTTTGGGTGTTATTATTATCGTTATTTGTTTATTTGGACAGACGTAAACTAGTGGTTAATGCCAGGATATAGAGATATAAGGTTCGCGGCCGTTGTCGCGAAAACACGCTCTGCACTTTCTACTGTGGGTAAAATATGAATTTTCCAAGAGGTACTAATGAATTGTATTCATTCTCGTCTATCAGTTCGACTATGTGAAACGTTAGCCCATTGTGTAGCTTTGCGCGAAAACTAAAACAAACAAAATATTTATTGATTTTTGGGGGAACACTTTCATAATATCCGAATTTGAGTTTGTTCCTCTAAAGAAAACAATAGCTACTGTTTTGGATTAAACGAAATATTAAGACACATTGAATTGACAAACAGACAGACAACTTATTTCTATTAGCCTACAGTAATTCAAAACATTTTATATTAACAGTTTTTTCAATATATATATATATATATATACACTTCTTTCGAGACAAAACGACTGTAAAATCCGTTATTTATTTTTGCATACAATGTTTACATTACATTTTCAGATATTCATATTCTCTGAATCAACATGATCTTACTTTTGATGTCAACATGTTTATCAGAATGATTGCAATAAAACGCAAACGTCGGAGACCACCAACTAATGTAAATTTCTCCTACACAAATTTTAACATGTAAATTATGTGCATGCTAAATAACGAACTTATGCCCTAAAATACTCTAATCTAATTTTATCATGAATCGTTTCTTTGTGTAAGTAGAAAAACAACATCCCTACGGGTGCTCATTAAAACTTTAGAAGTACGATGCAAATGTAAGTAAAGTGACAGGCTGAAATATTGCTGTGGATGAAAAAACTGTATATATTGATTACGACCAGTCAAATATGAAAAATAAATTAACTGCTTAAGATGTACTAGGAACTTTTCAGTAGGAGAACAAAAGAAAAAAACATTTTTAAATTCCTACGTGAATTAAGAAATTTAATAAATTTGAACGAAATTAACTTACTCCATTCAAATGCCAAGTGACATGTAGTTACGCATTTTAAAAACCGAACTTGTGAAATAATATTTGTCAGCGATTAATTTCCTAGGACTAGGCTGTACTTTATTTTGGTTTGAATGTCTTTTACGTTGTGTATGTTAGGCGTGAGGACTTTTTTTTGTTGTTGTTGTTTTTCTATACAGTATTTTTAAAAACAGTTTATATAGCGGAAAAAATGATATTTCGCTTGTGCAGTCAATTTGATGATGACATTTTTTGCAACCTATAAAATTATGTAATAATATTTATTTTAGAATTGACATGTATATATATTTATCTGAGCACTTTTTGGCCAGTCTCAAACTATTCACACGCATCTACCACAACAAAATTAAAATTATTAAAATGAACATAACTACCTGCTTCATATGAAAGTGAATTATAACTAATGATAAACCAAGGTGAACAATATGGTTAGAACGTTCAACTCGCAATCTGAGGGTCGCGGGTTCGAATCCCCGTCACCGAACATGCTCGCCCTTTCAGCCGTAGGGGCGTTATAATGTAACGGTCAATCCCACTATTCGTTTGTAAAAGAGTAGCCCAAGAGTTGGCGGTGGGTGATGATGACTATCTGTCTTCCCTCTACTATATCACTACTAAATTAGGGACGGCTAGCGCGCTGATAGTTCTCGTGTAGGTTTGAGCGAAATTTAAAACAAATTAAACCAAATGTGAATAACTGATTCTTACATGACTTCAGGCCTTCACGTTTGACGAGTGCCATCGCGCTGACACTCGTAGGCGCCTGTAAAATGGGTTTTGCAAGTGCTTATTAGCCTCTGTCATTACTGCCAAAACATTCGCTGTTCACACAATCAGCTGTTGTAACTTGTGTGATCCTGTTGGTTGTTACGGCTAGAGTACTTCATTGCTAATTGGCCTACACACCAAGTAATGCGCTATTTTGAACTATATTGTTGTATTATATAGACATCCAATATTTGTAACTGAGAAATTAAGTCAATATGTTAAAGATGAAGCTACAAAATTGGTTATTAATTATTAGCAAATTCAGAACAAAAAGAAGAGCCTTAAGAAATTTGTTCCTGACCTAAATTGCATTTGATGAATTTCTATAATTTTTTGCATGACAGGAGGCTGCAAGGGCTGTTATGTTGTCATAGCTCAGTTCTGGTTTCACTTTCGATTGTAAACATGTTTCAGCGAAACTCTGCTTTTTTGTCAACTTTCGGCAAATTCAATCTCGATAGAAAAATTTGATTTTCTTCTTCAAAGACATTATAACAAAAATGTGGTGCAATTTTTGTGCTGAATACAGCGGGATCCGAAGAGGAGTGAAAGGTCGTAGTCAGCAAGAGGTGGACAAGTATACATGTGGAACTGAATTCATGGAGGTGGACAAGTATACATGTGGAATTGAATTCATGGAGGTGGACAAGTATATATGTGGAACTGAATTCATAGAGATGGACAAGTATATATGTGGAACTGAATTCATAGAGGTGGACAAGTATACATGTGGTACTGAATTCATAGAGGTGGACAAGTATACATGTGGAACTGAATTCATGGAGGTGGACAAGTATATATGTGGATCTGAATTCATAGAAGTGGACAAGTATACATGTGGAACTGAATTCATAGAGGTGGACAAGTATACATGTGGAACTGAATTTATAGCAGTGGACAAGTATATATGTGGAACTGAATTCATAGAGGTGGACAAGTATACATGTGGTACTGAATTCATAGAGGTGGACAAGTATACATGTGGAACTGAATTCATGGAGGTGGACAAGTATATATGTGGATCTGAATTCATAGAGATGGACAAGTATATATGTGGAACTGAATTCATAGAGGTGGACAAGTATATATGTGGAACTGAATTCATAGAGGTGGACAAGTATATATGTGGAACTGAATTCATAGAGGTGGACAAGTATATATGTGGAACTGAATTCATAGAGGTGGACAAGTACATACTATGAATTCAGTTCCACATCCACTTCTATGAATTCAGTTCCACATATGTACTTGTCCACTGGAAGTATACCTGTGGAACCGAATTCATAGCAGTGGACAAGTATATATGTGGAACTGAATTCATAGAAGTGGACAAGTATACATGTGGAACTGAATTCATAGAGTGGACAAGTATATAGTGGTACTGAATTCATAGTGGTGGACAAGTGTATATGTGGAACTGAATTCATGGAGGTGGACAAGTATACATGTGGAACTGAATTCATGGAGGTGGACAAGTATATATGTGGTACTGAATTCAAAAACACATCAAATTGATTTAAATATGTATGTATGTATCTTACCTTATTTTGTACTCATTACCTAAACTTATAATGAGATCCCTTCGTTGTTAGTCATGAAATGTACAGCTTGTATCGTCAACTATCTGCATTATACAATCAGTATGCTATAGTATTGCCTTTGATCCAAACGTTGCCTGTATATGCCTAGGTTTGAATGCAAATTGTATGGACACATAAGGAAATGAAAGAATAGTAAAAGCAACTTTGGAGACGTTTATGGCAAAAAGGGGGAAAAGGAAATTTTATAGAAATCCTTTTAACATGTCTGTAGAATTTGCAGTCAATAATTGGAAGTCAGACATGCACAATGAAATATATTCTGTTGATGATGAAATTTAAGTGATTGTGGAGATGATGATGATGAGAATAATTCTGATTCTAAATGTCTAGTAGATCACGTGATGGGGCTGAAACAGATGAGATTATTTTTCAAGAACTTATTGCACAGGAGCCGTCAGATGATTTTCTTGTACACAGCATGTGTGAGGATAATGACTGAATATGTTCCATTAGCTAACAGTTAAACACAAACAGGACAAAAGTTCTTGGTGCATACAAATATCTATACAAAGTATATATATATATTTGATTGAATTAACTTGATTTTTTGAGATGTAAGTTTGTCGCTTAATT